CCCAAAGCGAGGAGTGAGTTCAATTTTTCAAAGTCCTCAGAAATCCTACCTCGAGCTCTGGTTTTAATGGCTGAAGGGAGGTTGGCGAATCTGAACAAAACCCAGCAAAAATGGAGTTCAAACTGTTGATGATGCTACAAGCAAGGGATTCTTGTAGTTCTTGGCTTTTGTTATTGTGAAAAATAGGGAGGACAAGCTCGTTGCAAAGGGCCTGCAATGGCAGAGAGAGAGCCTTGCATACGAGTAATAAAATAGTGACAATAAGGGAGGTTGGCGAATCTGAACAAAACCCAGCAAAAATGGAAGTTCAAACTGTTGATGATGCTACAAGCAAGGGATTCTTGTAGTTCTTGGCTTTTGTTATTGTGAAAAATAGGGAGGACAAGCTCGTTGCAAAGGGCCTGCAATGGCAGAGAGAGAGCCTTGCATACGAGTAATAAAACAGTGACAATAAGGGCAGCGTGATGTTTGCGTAAAACTTGAATGAAAATATGCATACTCCAAGTTTTTTTAGGAATACGTGTATCTTCATTTTAGGCCTTCTTGGGGATGACGCAATACTGGGTTTGAGCCCTTGTATTGAGCCAAACGGCTCACATGCCTGAAAACCTGGTTATGTAAAAACTGATTTTGTATATCCAGGGTCCCCAAACGACCCATGACCCTCTTCAGTCATCAATCTTGCTGGCATCATTCAACTTAATTATAGATTATCATGCATTTACATATTGCAGAGCCTTGGATTCCTAAGCTGTGATCTTCCCTAAAAAGTTACCGGCTGATTCCAGTATTTCATCAAACTCAAAAGGACAGAAAACCATCTCCTTCTCTCCGCCTCAGAAATCAAAACAAATGTTCAATCATAGTCTTATTACCAGATTGACTCCCACATCCAAATGAAGGCTATAGATGAAAACCAGCTTTATTCGGCCGATGACATAATTTTAAAGGATCCAAATGTAGTTAAATACATTTTACATTTCCAGGCAATCCCATTGATCCCTATGTGCATTTGAAGCTCCGATAAGGAGTAACTATTAGAAGAAATATCTTTTGGACAAGGTCATCAAAGACATCTCTATACATAACACTAAACCACTTTGACATGGCCCTATGATCTACTCGATCGTGTTGAAATGTACATTTATTAGTCAAAAAAAATAGAACAAAAATTGATCTGTATTTTTGCTGTTTTGCTTTCCAAAACATGGGTTGAATGACAAACTTCAATAAGTTTAACATTAAAATGTTCTTCTTTTTTATTAATATGCATAAAATAACATTTGAATAAGTTTGACATTAAAATGTTAGCTTCAGAAATTCGAATTACTCAAGCAAGTATGCAAGCATACATGCAAACGCACAACATATACAAACACTTTGGATGAATCATGTATGTGCAGTTCTGCATACACGATAAAAGACAACAATCTTTCTATGAATCTAATGACTAGCATACGATGCATGCACAAATGACATCAAATATGTGAAAATTGGCCCTGAACTCTGCATGACAGTTGCACACAGCACAGACCATAAACCCCATGGCACAAGATGACATCTAGTTCATACCATTTTGCAGTGTGATTAAAGCCAGCCTTGGCTAAGACAAGCCAAAGGGAGAAGTGAAATTACTCAAGCTGACTTGGTGGCTCACCCAATTGACTTAGTTACTTCAAAATCAGGCCCAAGACAGTGCCAATCCAAGTTCCATCATCAAAGCTCCTTTAAGTATCATGAGGCACACCATGTACCAACAATGCTAGATATGGCTTTCTAAGTAAGAACCCAAAGCAATCACTTAGAAATAGGTGTCGGTATTACAAATAAACCAAGTGAAAGAGAAAAATTTTGAGGATTTTAACAAGCCACGTAACAGACTTCCAAATGGATGACAAAACCACAATACTACAGAACATGATTGAACTGAGGAAGCCAATAATGCACTTGAATGATATAGAGAGGTTAGTAAAAGGTTCTTTTTATTTTCAAGTTCAGGAGATTCCAGAAAATTTATGATGGTAAATTGCAAAAGGTCAGTAAAATACCATGAAAAAGAGACTCTGAGTCCAAAGTAATCTAAAAGAGATGACATGGTGATTTACAGCTGCATCTGGCAAGATGATATCTGTTCCAAGTGTAAACCTTTCACCATCATCAATCTCAAATCGATCCAGTTGCTTCACATCATCCACTACCATATTGCCAAACACTGATTGTTGTTATTTGATCTACTTCACTAAAGCAATTGTCAAAATATTACTACAATCAATCTAAGTATCAATACAATCATCTGCACAGCCACAAGAGACATACTTAACAAAGCAACATTGTGATTTCAATCATAGGCTCTCAACTTATCTTCAGCACATTATTGAAAGTTGGTTGAGGACTCTCAACCACATTCAAATGAGAATATAATACTTTGAGACCTTGGTGGATTAGATATTCCATGTATTTAAGCACACTAATGACAAAAAGTTGCACAATATTAGCAGCAAGATAAAGAAACTCACTTCACAATAGAATGAGAAAGAAAAGTAGTTAAAACGGATAGCTTCAAGTAACAATATTTACTCTACTTTAATATTACTCTACCAATTAAAGTATATAATTCCATTTTCGCATGGTAATATTAGGGTTTACGTTTGTAAAAGTAAATCGAATAGAAACACGGTCTCTGCCAACTTAATGCAGCCTAAAAAGTGCAAGTTATTCAAGAATTGAACTCTTAGGGAAAAAATGATCCAGGGCATCCAATGAGATACCCTTCTCCTCTACAAAAACAGCAAGCAAAATTGAGATACAAGATAGAAGAGACAATAAGGCAAGGAAAATGTTGATCATTGTCATCCATTCTCATAATCATATAAAAGAGATTTGGTAGTTCGATCAAGATAGACTCCAAATCATACCCTACACTAGCCATTCTATGCACAATCTCATGAGCATCATTTCTCTTATTCTGAGAACAAAGAATCCTAACTAACCTATTGCACACAAGTGGCATCAATTCAAATTTTTTCTGCCGTGTGGAAAGAAAAACATCAACAGCCATAGCCAGTCTGTCCTCCAAACAAAGGCCATTAATGAGCATCACACAACTAGGAGGTGTGACATCAAAATCAAATTCTCGAAGAATAGAGAAAATCTTAAGAGCTTTATCGAGCTCCCCACCTTTGCAAAACCCTATTAACCAAATGGTATAAGGAGAAGAATCCACAACCTTGAGCTTCAAATCCATCTCTATAAATCCTCTGATAGCTTCTCCCACTTTTCCTCGCTCAAAGTGTTCTCGTATCAATTCAATTGTGATGGCTTCCTTCTTAGAAGTAACGGCCTCTTCGAAAGAAAATTTAACCAAAGACTAAAATCACGAGTGACCCGCCCTTTTCGACACAATGATGTCATAAGGGCCCTGTAAACTACAACATCAGGCATATGCCCGTGGCTTGCCATTTGATCCAAAAGTGAAAATGCTTCCTCTTCTCTGTCAGCTCTTTGAAGGGCATCAATTAGAGTAGTATATGTGACTGCATCAGGAGAATAGCCTTGAAGCAGCAGCTCCTTGAGTAGCTTGAAAGCCCCATTAATATTGCCTGCCTTGCAAAGGCCATTGATCAGTATGTTATATGTTATTACATCAGGTACAACCCCACTTTTAACGAGTTCTTTGAGGAGCTTGTATGCCTTCAGAATGAGCCCAGAGCTGCAGAGCCTTTCGACCATGGATTGAAGGCTCGCGCTATCGAGCACAGGGTCAGAGCCTTGAGAGAGGCGGAGAAAGAGAGATGGGTTACGCCCCATCTCCATTTTATTGAACAGAATGTGGGCTTTCTCCATTGCACCAGCTTTGCAAAATCCATTAATGAGAGAATTGAAGGTCATCACAGTGGGGGAACACCCAAGCCTTTTCATCTCCTCAAAAATCTCTTCGGCCTTATTAACCAGGCCCTCCTTGCATAAACCACATATAAGAATAGTATACGTTGCAGAGTCAGGGAAGCAATCTTTCTTTGAGATCTCTAAACGCAAAGACCGAGCCTCATCTAAGAACCCAACATCACAGAGACCCTTAATCAACGTGTTATAACAGTAAGTATCTGGAACCAACCCTTTATTAGTCATTTCCCTCAAAAACCAAGTGCACCATTAATTTTACCAGCTTCACAGTACCCCTTGATCATCGTGGTATAAAGTACACAATCAGGGACTATGTTTTGTTCTTCCACCATGTTCCTATAATACTAGCAAGCTTCCTCAAACCTCCGAGCTCTAAACAATCCATTGAGCAAAGTAGTATAACCATTTAACCCAAGCATATAGTTCTCTCTCCTAAATGATCTTAAAAGCTCAAAAGCTTCATCTACTTTACCCAATTTGCAAAATCCACTTAGCATACAATTATAAGTGATATCATCAGGAATACACCTGTTATCTCTCATGGTGTGTAGTAATTTATGAGCATCTTTGCACAAACCAGAAATAACAACTGCATAAGTCATGGTGTTAGGAGAAATACCTCTCTCTTCCATTTCATCAAACAATAAAAAGGCATCTTGGGTTTTCCCAGCTCTGCAAAGCCCACTGATCAGAACGTTAAAAGTAGACTGGTTAGGTCGGCAATCCACTTTCAACATCTGGTTATAAACAGCAAGGGCAACCTGGAAAACGTCTTCCTCCATTAAAACATGGAGAATTGTATTATAAGTGAAGGTATTGGGCCAACAATTGAACTCATCCATCTTGCTAAAGCATTCTACTGCATTTTCAGCCATGCCCAACTTCATATAAGCAGAAATCATTACTGTAAACACTTCAGGTGAGATGGGTGTTTGCTTATAGGCACATTACTTTCAGGATTTAATAGAGTTTTTAAAAAAATTCAATGAGTAATGTTTTCTATATAGATATTAAACATAGTGATGGTATAAAATATTTATATATATTTTAGATGGTTATGCAAAAAGAATAAAAAATTAACTTGAACAATTCTCGCCTTGAAATATTTTTTGAGTTTTTCAACTAAAATTCACTTTTCCTTTCATTGAAAAAATCCATTTTGACTCTCACAAGAAATCATATATAACACTAACAGCTAGTAAGGCATGCAATCAAGATTCCCTTGCATGGGTGTTGTTGATAATGCTAACAGCTAGCAAGGCATATGGTCAAGACTAAACATATGTAGCTTATGAACATCTAATAACGTAAAAAACAGCATAAAATTAAATAAAGAAGGTAGACCCTCCTTTTAATTACATAAATCAGCATTAACATTTTTACAATGTTTAAACATCTGCCACAACATTTGGTATTGGTATGAAAAAAAAAATCTATTTCAAGAATTTAGATAGATTTCTAAAAATTAAAAACCAGCATTGCATAACTAAGTTTATGCCCTTCAAATAAGCATTGACAAATGAAGAAATGAAAACAGGGCATCAATATCTAACAAAGATACATAACTGTCACTATCAAACTGCTTATTATGAGATCATAATCAGAAAGCATATCAGCAGAAAAGAAACGGAAAATAATCCATATTCTAATAAAGAGAAAAGCATTCAAAACCTAGCTTCAAAATTCATGAACAAGCCCCACTATAAAAATCACATAATGCCTTATGCCAACTGCACCCTATAATTCCCACACAATCATGTCTCACTATATCTAACTTCCAACTAGATTATGACATTCTGTAATTCTGTAATTTTTGAACAAGCCTCACTATATTTAAACTTCCAACTAGAGTATGGCATTCTGTAATTTTGATTTCAATAGTTGGGTTGCGCATACAAACACCATGATATTTATCTTTTCAAGAGATTGAGGAGGCCAAAAAAATACTCAGGAAGCATCTGAGTAGAATCTACTTCATCACTGTAATAATAATTTCTAAATAATTGAGACGGAATGTGAAAATAATTTCACTACATGAAATGGTGTAGAACAAATTTACACACGAGGTAAGTCAGTCCACCAGCCTGCTTTTTTATTATATTAATAACCATATTAGATTGTGAGAAGAGAATACAGATCAAGTTAGAAGAGTCATTCCATCAGCCACTACATGATCACCATTGTTATATATAAATGTTTCATACTGAAAGAAATGCCCCCTGAAGCAAGTGAACAAACAGTACATTGCCCACTGTATAACCATTAGTCAGGGTTACCCTCACATTGCATCAAGACCCTATAAATCTTAGGAATAACCATACCCATTGAATATAGAGCAAACCTTATAACTCACAAAAAATTGCCCGAATGCATGCAGGAATGCAAATTAACGCTTAAAAATCCAAAGAGTTCTGATCACATCAAGACTGACCTTGTGGATGCAATTAACAACATATTTATCTGAAAGTCAAATTCCATCTAAAAAGCTCATGTATGCAACATGACAACCCAAGCAAAGCATGGTCAAAAGGCATTTCAAGAGAAAATGGAAATATTCAAACAGAAATGCAGACAATATACTGCAGCCATTGGGTTCAAAGGATGGGCAGGCCGCAGCCACCAAGTCCCTATTATCTTTTCCTTTTGTTTTTCCATAGGGGATTGCATAAGGGACAAACAATTTTCTTGAAAGAATTTTTTCTTCCTCTTTGCCGTTCAAGGGTGTACAATGTGCAAAGGGACTGGGGAAGGTGCAATATCAAGTGAAAAATTACACCTAAAAAGGTAGCATTCTTTTGACTAATGAATGTGTATATTGCTATCATGTTCATCATGCGTGTGCATTTGTATGTTGAGGAAGACAGATTTGTATCGTGTGTGAATGGTTTTCATGCCCATTGCCAGAGATGCAAAAAATGAATCTGTCAATTGAACAATATCAAATCACAGATTCACAGGTGATAAATAACAAAACAATCAAGCCCAACCTCAACAAAATCAGTCATTGATCAACATCTAATAACAACTAATCAACAAGAAGTACTTTATGGGAAAGTGTACTATAATCAAATTCACTATAGAAAACCATAGTCCATTCAATCATCAACATCCATTAAAAAAAAAAATCAATAGTTTTAACGGAGACAGATCCCCCATTTTAGCTCAGAGGACTAATACTTGCTGAGGTTGCAGTGACCATTGTTTCAACATGCTAATTTTCATTCATTTCTTCTTGAAAAGAATGAAAAATACATTTTTTACAATAAGTTAGAAAACAAATATAAGCAGCAATTGCCCTAGTTGAAGAAAAATATTCATGGAGACCCTATTATTCGCTATCACCATAGCAAAACAAACCACAGTTCAGAGCACGAATTGAAAAACTTAGAAACCAAGAAGATAAAGTACCCATTCTCTCTCATAGCATAAAGCAATAGAAATTTCAAATAATTCTAGTGAGAGAAGGAAGTGGCTTTACCATTGTTACAACTCCCCATTTACCACGAGAACGAGAAGAGGACAAGAAAGAGGGACCAGCAAAAAAATAAAAGAACACCAGCTAAAAAAAAAAAAACTTACATTGTTGAAGAAGATGAAAGCTTGCAAATGGATCCGCACCTATGGGTCGGGTTGCAGAGGGTTGAGAGAGAGTGGCAAGGGCTTTGAGAGGGGCAGGCCTTTGTGAGAGAGGGGCAAGGATTTGACACAGAGGAGTGAGAGAGGGGCAAGGGTTTCGTGAGAAGGGGGACTTTGAGCGGGGCAAGTGAGGGAGAGGGTTTGACGCAGAGGTTTTTTTCCTTCCGTCATTTTTTGTGCAGTAAACTCAAATGAAACATTACTTCGGGTCCGCGCAAGTAATGGATCCCCAATGACCTACTCCCCACCTTGTAGGCTGGGATTCCTTTTCACATGATTTGCTCCTTGTGGTGGTAAAACCTTTTCCTATGGGACAAGTTTTCATCAACCTTAAGCACAAACGAAATGTACATAACTATATGTGCCATATGAAAACTGTTCCATACTGCAAGTTTTCATACGAACCAAACGAGCCCTTAAGAAGTGGGAGCCTTGAGAAAAGGTCGTGATGTTGAGCTCTAAGAAAGAGGTGTGTGGGAATGCTAGAGAAAGAAAGTGGAAGATTGAGAGCGAGTGGGAGAATAGGAGATGAGTGTGTGGGGTTGCTAGAGAGAGAAAATGGGAAGATTGCTAGTGTAGAAGCAGAGGAAATGAGTGAGTGGGGTAGGTTGCAAGAGAGAGAAAATGGGAGGTTCTGTATCCACTATCCCCTGATAGAAACTATAAACTTGAAACTAGCTTCATAAAACACTCAACAACCATAAGTACAAATTTGCAACCACAAACTTGAAAGTTACAAAATGCAAACTAAAAGTCAAAGAAGTTTAAAGAGTTCAAAAAGTAAAGCTCCAGAGTCAGTACAATCATCATCATTTCTCAAGTCTTGAGAGTGAGATTCTAAATTTCAAATCCTAATCAGAGACGTTATCTTGAGAGGTTCCATATGCATCATCATCACCATCATCACCGGCAGCCTCCACATATTCTTCTTCCTTGGTCTCATCTGAGTCAGTCTCCTCCTCCTCCTCGACCTTTGGAGCTGACTAGACCCAGCTCTACTCCTTTGTGCTCTAGTGTTAGGCCGTTCTTCTTCATTAATCCCTGTGGGTAGCTCGACATCAAGCCAAGAAAGATCATCACCCTCAAACAAATGCTCTAGTCATGAATCCATAGTCCACTCACTTATGCAATCAACCATAAGGTTCATACAATTGAATAGGGTTGAGATCCATGCACTTTTGATACCTCTCCCTAAGCTCCTAAGCTGCTCACTATATAGCACATAAACCAAATCATTCAACTTCTTCTGCTCCAACCTATTCTTTTTTTGGTACGGGGCTATGGTAGAAAATTGGGAAACAAGCAAAAGCAACAGATGTTTTTTTTAATGAACAACATTTGTTACTTTTGCTTGTTTCCATGTTTTCTACCATAGCAAAAAGTAACAGATGTTATTCTTTTACACTTCTTAGATAAGTTGATTTTAGAAAATTGAAATTTGAAATTGAAATGTAAGAAATAAGGATTAAGGACTTACATGCTCAAATGCACTCCAATTGCGTTCGCAACTAGAGTAGCTACATGTGAGACTCAACACTTGAATAACGAGACGTCGTAGATATGGTATCGTGCTTCCATAAAATGTCCACCATGCAGCTGTATAACATAATTAACATTTTATAATTTAGATTTTAGATAAATATTTAATTATGTGTATAAATGGAACTATACATAAACAAGTAAAAAATTGTAAAGCAAACAAAATAGAAATTAGAAAGGGTGCTTTTGGTCTTTACTTGGATCTATAGTGTTCCTGTTTCGAGTAGCAATCTCTCTCTCAAAGTTTCCCAAGGCTAACTTGAACTTAATCAATTCTTGGCTCTGGATCTCATCTTGGATATCTTTGTTAGGGACCAACCTCTCAAGCACATCTAAGTACCCACCACTTATTACACGATCAGACACAATAGATGGTTGCTTGTAGTGAAAAGATGGATTTAAAAAAGTAACCGGCTGAATCGAGGTGCCTGTGGAGCTGGTTATCACATCTCCTAACAATAATTCCAAGTATAGCCTTGCATTTATTTTCATCATCCTTTAAAGCCTTTTTTATCTCTCCTCTTGTCCTAGCCATTGCCTCATGTACGCAGGCCATCGCGGGCTTCACATCACCATCGACCAATCAAAGCACACTCATTAAAGGGCCAGCCACCTTCAATGCATGATATATCAGATTCCAAAAAGATGTATTCATAATAATTTGTTCAGCCTTACTCCCATCCCAATGCTTTGACCACATGCTTTGACTCTATTGTTCTGAAGCAAACATGGTCCTCAAGGCATTTTTTTTGCTTGCATTAGCTTTGAAGAGTGAGAAATGATGTGGAAAATCTAGTGACACCCGGTCTCACTAATTCCCTTTTCTTTGTATAACTCCTCATCATACAAAGGACTATGATGTGATTATAAATAAATCCAACAACATAGCTTTTGAAATCACCCCACTAAATATAGATGTAGTACCCATTTCCTTAAGCATGAAATTGACACAATGAGCTGCGCAACTAGTCCAAAACATATGTGTCCTCTTCAAAGTCAATAAATGCCTAGCTGCTGCGTAATTGGCACCATTGTCAGTGACAACATGGACCACATGTTTCTCTCCCAAAAAACTCTATTATCTCATCCATCAAGCCACATAAGTATGTAGCATCATGTGACTTGTCTGATGCATCCACAGACTTAATAAAATAGTACATGTTGGACAGTTAACCAAAAAATTAATGAATGACCTCGACTTCCCATCAGACTATCCATCACACATAATAATTGCTCCATACTTCTCCCACCTTCCCTTTGAGAAATCAAAATTTTGTTAACATCAGAAATAGCATCCTCCAATAAGGGCTCCCAAATCTCATTTAGTCAAGGAGGATTAAGTCTTGGTCCAAATAACCCAATTGTCTGGACCATACACGCAAAACTATCAAGGATTATAATATTGAAAGGAATGTTGGCCATATAAAACCACTTTGCAATGTACTTACATACCTCCTTCCACTCTTCTTTCTTGTATCAATTTTCAATTGCAGTTTGTTTAGTTTTTTCCTCCTCTCCAGAACCATAATTTTGGAGTCAGGGTTGAAAAAATTATCTATTGGCCCCTTGGAGAGAGGTGTTTTTTTCCAACGCTACCACCAATATTTATAACCCTCTCTCTTGACAATGGAGTACCCATTTGCCTCATTACAACTTCTGACATATCCTCCTCCTCAACATCATCATCAAATAATTGCATTTCATCAATTAATTCTTTGGATTTCATTTTTTTCTTCTTTTTTTGTTTTTTCAAGCTATCCATGTATTCTCTGATCTCTTTTGTAGCTTGTGGGCATGCTCTTACATTCTCAGAAATACTGGCGAAGTGCTCTTTTTACCGAAAAATACCCCCTATATAAGTATTTCCACAAAGCATACAAATCATACAATTTCGATCTTTCTGATTTTTTTGGTTTGGCATATTTCCATGCTAGATCCTTATTACTAGAAGATTGGGAAAAAGACATTGCCCCAAAAAAAAGTATTACTGTAGTACGAAAAAGAGTTACTGGTTACTTGAAGCAAGTATCGATTTCTTCTCAGCCCTTGAAACCCTCAATTTGTTGTCAAAACTTCGCCTAAACTTCCTACAAATACAAAACCCAAAAAAAAAAAAAAAATCAACAAACAAGCACAAAAAAAAATTGAAAATCTAAGAAATTTCCACAAGAACTTTTCTGCCACTTTTTTTTTGATCGATTTGATCCAAGAAAAGACACGGATGTGGCTATTTTTTTGTTGTTTGGGGGTTTAATACCCCTTAAACACTTTCCCCCTTTTTTGAGGGTCAAAAGGTCAAAAATACCCCTGCTCGAGGAGTTTATTTTCACGAAATTAGCGTGCTGCATATGCAGTGTATGCGAGATGCAGCCGCATATGCAGTGTATGCGAGATGCAGCCGCATATGCAGAGAGAAGTGGCGCATATGCGGGCCCATCGCTCCATAGTGCATATGCGTGACCATGCGATGCACTACCCAGTGCATAATGCATTATGCGGCAGCATTTTAAAACCATGGGGAAGAGGGGGAAATGATTGGGAGAAAAGATCGTGGGGTGTAAGGGGTAACAAGTGAGAGTATGTTGGTCTTTAAAAAAAAGAAACTTCTACTTGGGGGGTTAAGTGCAGAGAGAAACAGTAATGGGAGGGGGTCATAATTTTCCCTTTCTGTTTTCTAACAACGAGTTATGAGTTCGACACTTGAAATTAAAAAAACAAGTGCTCAAAAGAATTGCTAAGCATATGGGTTCAGTAAATCAAGTGGCAAACCCATATAATTGAAATTTTTAAGTAAGAAAAATGGATCATGCACTTCAAGTGCCAAACCCATCACAAATCAAAACTCCAAAAGTGTCTATACGGGGTCTCTATTGCATGGAAGATGGAGCTGCCATGTAATCTAGAAGTCCCGGTTTCTATTGGTTGGCACAGAAGCCACAGTTTTCAAATCTACGTTACACATCCCGCAAACAAACATAGGAACTGCAACAATGATGTTAGCAATGGCTTCCAATATACAAACGCACCCAAAGAATAGATATCCAACCTACTTGATCCGAACATTGAAAAGGTCTGCCCAAACCCAAAAATAAAAATATTGAAAATGAAAGATTTTAGGCTTTTTTTTTTATCTAGGCCTTGGATCAAAAAGAGGGAGTCAAATAACCCCAATCTTTTCTTTTCTTTTCACACCTCATGAACCCCCAAACAGCTGCGAAATAAAAAAAAGGCCTTTGGTTTTCTAGTTCCCTTTTGTCATTAGAGTATCAAACTCTACAAGTCTATAACATATCAAGTAACTCTCAAAAAATTACATGAGTCCAACACAACCAAGATCTAGGTTTAGAAAGCAATAGGCTCCCCCAACATGATGGGGGTCCTAAGGACTCAACAAGGTGCCAGTTTCAAGTGAATTGGGAGAGTCTTAGTCAACCATGCCGAGTTTTTTTATCATTGGTTCAAATACAGATTAGATAACATTCTTACACATTAAATGCCCAATATCCAGATAAGCCATACGTGCCTTAGATATGGTGAAATAAATATCTCATGTCACATTCCCTTATCCTTAAAAGACACATGCTCAAGTGGTAAATGACATTGGCAGTCAACCTAAAAGTGAATAATCAACCACCTATCTAAACATGCTAGTAGCATAGCTTCGTATGACCAATTTTACTTAATTAGTTTAAGGACAGAAATTCAGCACTAAAAAAGGCTAAATATCAAATAACTACATGATGGACTACTGTCTTACAAGCAAAACTCAGGCCAGCACTTGCTAGGACCCCAAGGCCAAATGAGGCACACCCAACTCAACTAAGTCTAACAGGTCCCAACAAGTTCATGTCAGAAAATGCTTAAATGGGTCCAAAAGTGTAAGACTCAGGCGAGTCCCATGGTATGCCTATAGTACTCACCAGGGTCTCCAGGCGAGTCAACTCGGGCAAGTGCAGAGACCAACTAGTCAACTTTTAAAATAGTGTTACAAACTTAAAAGGCCAAGTAGCTTTAGCCCCTGAAAGTAACCTTGTGTCAGGTCTCTTAAAAAGCATGCACCCAAACTATGTAGTTAGAGAAAAAAATTCAAGAGTACAGATTCAGCTTGAATAGACATAAATTGATAGACAAGTCTCAACTTAGTAACTTACATTAAATAGAAAACAATATGGGTATTTATCACCAAGAAAGGTACGAGTTTCAAATGACAATAGCCAACCTAACAATTCTAAATTCAACTAATATAAAAGTAGATTTATCAACACACCAAATTTTTCCAATACTGCCAATGCTGCCAATGCCCGAGTGTAAAGCCTTGTTAATAGAAGTATATAATTAATACAAAGAAACATAATTTGAACTACAACCTTATAATAAGGTTCTTTTTTAGAATATTATAAACATACATTATTTTAAGGGTAATGGTCAAGTAGATCCAATTGTACCTAAACAGGGTAGAGATCAGCCTAACACCATTGATTTGATTGATGGACAGAGCAGGAGAGACAGGGAAACCTACCACTTGGGTCCTTCCAAATTTTGGTCAGCCCCACTATGTTTTAATTACCGTCCATCCAGCAAACTTGATGGTGTTCGGCTGTTCTCTACCATTACTGAGGTAGGAACATTTCTACAGAAGATTCCTCTATAAATAGAGCATTCAACAAGAGGAATAATTGAAAGGCACCTTTTCAGCTATTGTTTTGGTAACCATAATGTGCTCCATCTGTCGGTAAATAAACAAAAAAGAAAAATGATAGTACAATAAAACAGAAGAATACCAAAAAACAAGTTTGAAGGTAGCCATGCTGCTAAGAAATGAAAAAATAACCTTTCAATCAAACCGATCACCAACACAACCTTACGGAAATAAAACCAAAACAAAAAGTAACATTGAAAAATCAATCCGAACGATAAAGAAGCAAACACAGGCCAATTTTTAGACTTTAAGAACAAAAAATACTCTTTTCTCTCTCAATTTCTAATCATTTTCCCCCCCTCTAAAAAGCCTTTCATCTTCTCTTTTCAAAGCTCCACCAGAATAAATTCAACGTCCATCTAAATCCTATGGATCTCCGACTTGTGATCTCATCATAAACCTAAAGTGTAAGATAGACCTTCTGTTGCCTGAACTCTCTCGAGAGCAGCGGTTCTTCTGAGTCCACTCAAACTCAAAAGCCCATTGCCGAGCATAATACTCAGGTAAAACTCAGGGAAATTAAAAATAATAAAAATTTATAAAAAATCATATTAATTTATAAAATCAATGTATAAATATCTTATATACATATAAAATCAATGTATCATATTAATTTATGATGATGTATGATTTTTTCTTGCATTGTGCCCTATTTTGCATATTTCCTTCCCTTTCTGGATTTTTCTGAACTATAAATCAGTTTTCCTCTAAATCCATTTCTTATATGTTTATCCATCTTATTGGGACCTTTTTTTTTTTAGTTTAATTCTTTTTTTCTGTTTTTGTTTTGTTTTGTTTTTAACAATTTTCGTTATTATTTAGGCCTTTTTGGCCCAGTGCACTACCTGGGCCAGTCCAAGTCCTGAGTCCAAGCCCAAGCCGAGTTTTCGAAACTTGATTGGAACCCTGATCCTTTTACACTAACCAGGATCACTTGTTTTTAAGCTTGTATCTACAATTGACAAATTATGGTATAATCAATTAGTTCATGAAACAGGTTTCTCTAACCTTATGTTCTTAAGTCTTCAGAAGTTAATCAATAATCAGAGAGAGAGAGAGAGAGAGAGAGAGAGAGAGATTTCACTTGCAACTGTGAAAAGATGGGCTCTTCATAATTTCTGAAAAGATTGCTCTGAAAGGAAACACTATGCATACAATCCGTCCTGACGTGAGTTAAAGAGAAAATCACCTTGGAACTGTTATTCTTAGCAAACCCAAATCCCCCACCATCACCATTGCTCAACAAAATCTCTGCAATGGAAATCACAAGAACAGTAACATTATTGAAACCTATTCTCCTCAATTTCTCTCTCCCCAAAACTATCCCTCAAAAGATCTTACAAGTATAAAACATATTGATGCAGCTTTCCACCATTTTTACACCATCAGTCCTCCAACTCTTTGTAAATAAAAGGCTCAGAGACACTTGCATAATCATGTATCTTTGTGAAATGAAGAAATAACAATTTGCTATCCATAAAGCGGTCAAATCAAAATATCCAATTTGACATCTAATGAGTGGAAATGATTGTGACCTCCATGTATAAAACATAAAAGGTGTGGTTTCTATGAGGCTGCAACCTTAAACAATCCAATTAAGGCACACCTCTAAATTTTTACATAACAAGTAATTTTGTTATAAAAAATTCTTAGGATAATCTTAAAATCTTTTTACATTTCTAATTATAAAATTTTAAACTCCAACAATGGTTAAAATCAAAGACATTAAAAACATATGAAAATCTTGAAAATAGCTAGATAATGTGTTGCAAGATGCACTATTTTTAACAAAACCTTACCACAGAGTACCAACGAGCATTGCACTCGTGTGATCAACAATAAAGTGCGAAGAAACATCAACTTGGGCCTCACGAGCAGCCCAGAATGAAGACATGAGCTGTTTTAACTGGGAGGTGAGGCTTAAAACCTCATGCTTTAAGAGCGATATCTCTTCGTTGGCCCGCTGGGTGTTACCAACTTCCTGCACTAGCCTAGCACTTAAGTTGTTATTTTCAGACCTAAGACTCTCCTCAGGGGTTAGGTCAAGCCTTTAAGCTTTAGCATGGATGTAGGCTTCTTTAGCGGCAGATTGCTCTACCGCCTTTCGTGAAAAACATGGCCACCACTAAAGGTGCGCCCCGTACATCTACCGAAGCCCTAAAGATCCGACACTGAGGGGTCCAAAAAATTTCTACACTATAGACTGGGAGAGGGGGGTCCTCCTCATTTTCGCTTTCTTTTAGTAAGACATTTTTTAATGATGCTTCATCCAAATTGGGTGGAATTGGGCGGGGTTGGTGTGGTGAGTGTGACCGGCGGCGAGGAGGTGACGGTCCTATGGACAAGGCCACATTCCGAAGATTTTTTATATG